AGCTGAAAACCTCACTGCAATACTACTGTGGGAATGCACAGAATGGAGTCAGTGGGGTCACAATGCACCAGAGAGCCTTGGAATGAGGGCTATGGACCCAACCTAGTCTGCAGCGGTTGCCTTGGCAATGGCAGCACTGTGCTGTGGAGCCAGCAAAATGTCAGAGCCTTTGTAAAGCAAGTTTGGCCACCCTGAACTCTGCCTTGTGCAGAGCTGCCTCCTCACCAAGCCTTTGGTGTCCTGTCCTCCTCCCAGCCTCACTCCGAGGTGCAGCCCCCAGGCACCCCCAAGGCGCCAGCTGCTCATTTCCCCGATCTTTGCCTGAAGCCAAGGTTACATGTGCAGAAGAAAAGGAATTTTGTTCACCTCCCAGGATATGCGGCTGGGCTGCTGCAAGAGCCACCGCTGCTCGAGTACATCACCTTTCTGCAGTCACAGCCCTCTCTAATCTGGGACCAAAGGCATTCTCAAGCAAACATTCACAGGGAAGTGCGGGCAGCTGCGCTGCTCGTTCATCCTCCCTTTCGTGGGGTACCAGCCCTGCTCAGTGCAGAGGGAGAGACCTCCCTGCCCTGCGAGGGGGCCGCTCCGGGAGCCAATGAGGCCAAAGACAGACAGACACTGCCTGCCCAAAGACAGACACTGCCCAAGTGGGCTCAGAGGAGAGATGAGGGGGCCGCTCCGGGAGCCGATGAAGTCAAAGACAGACAGACACTGCCCAAGTGGGCTCAGAGGAGAGAAAAAGAACAACTCTGAGGCAGAAATGAAGTGATACAGATCCGTAGTCCGTGGACCTCAGCATAAAACCTCTCCTGCTGTGCTGGGATGGCCATCAGCAGAGTTAACCTTCCACTCTAATCACAGTCATTAAATTCCTGCTAATGCCCCTGTCCTGTGTCTGTCCCAAAGCTCTGTTGTCTGTCACCTCCCCACACGGTATGCAGGCTCCCCACTGCCACAGCTCTCATTAATGCTGCTCTGGCTGGCTGATGAGGCAAATGGCAGCTGGCTCCCAAGCCCAGATGAGTTTTGTAGACAGCAGGGAATGTTTACCCAACATGGAGGGGATGAAAGTACAAACAAAGAGAGACCATACAATTACTCAGGCATTGCACAGGGCCTCATTAGACGGTCTCCCTGACAGGAATTAATCTGAAGTGACAACACAGGGAGTTAATTTAGCAAATGGGTCTGGGGCCTGGCCCAGTGCAAATTTCAGGGGTCTGTCTGGCACGTAGATGCAGCCTGCTCTGAGGAGGGAAAGCCGGGAATATATAAAGCTGGCCCAGTTCTGGCCTGAGCCTGTGTATGAGAAGGTACAGAGGAGACAGCAGCCTCAGGTCGCCTTGAGGGGAACAATGAAGATTAAACTTTCTTACTGCACCAAGAGTTTCTCCTTCCTCTTTCTCTTGCAGCCTCAGGTCACAGATGGGTTCTGGCTCATTAAGTGCACAGTTTTTCTGCCACTATCCCCCAAAAACGTAACCACCAGCCCAACTTAGATCTTTCCTCCATGATGCAACCTGCTTGCAGTATTAGATGGCTTTTCATTTCTCTTTAATGTTAGAGCAGAGCCCTGGGACGGATATAAAATACACAGAGAGAAACAAGCAACTTAAAAGGCTTTTTATTTTTTAAGCAAAGATCTGGTTTGGGGAGGCTGCTTTGAATCCCCAAGCAATGAAAATAATTTTCAGTTGGAATGCAGTACTTGAGAGCCTTTTCTACACTGCAAGAATATATGGAGGAAAAAAAAGTTGACCAAACAAAGTGCCCAAAAGCCTTGTGGCATCTGCCCACAACCAAACCACCCAAGGCTGTGACCTCACTAAGGTCACTGGCTAAGGTGAAGTTAGGTGTTGGCATTTGGATCAGTTGCCTTGCAGCAAGAAAAGAAAAACCTCCCATGCTGTCAGGACAAACGGCTGTGAGGCTCCTGCTGTTCTTCAGTGGGCATGTTTTGCCCTCTGAATTGTTGCTCAGCAATGCTCCTGCCGAAGCCCACCTGAACGATACCCTCCAGGAAATTCTAACCTCTTTGCCGGGATATGGAGTAGAGGCTTCACAAGAAGCTTGCTCCAAGTTGCTATCATATGCACTTGCCTGGGTCAGTGGCTCCAAGCTGTCAAGCTGCTTATATGGTTTTAATCAAAAGTTAATTCTTATTCTGCTGGAACCGGTGTGTCTGTTGTGCTGCTCAGCCTGCTCTGCAGCACTGGGAACAATCAGTTCTGGTGGAAGCGCATCTGCCCATCTTGCTGGGAGCCCCCACACATTGCTTAGGAAACCAAATTCCCCCAGACTGCTTGCAATCCCCCCAGTAATGCCCTAGGAAGCTTCTGAACAGGAAGAATTGGAAGAGGCATGGCGCCAGCCAATTAATAAGCAGCACTCTGACTCTCACCCAGCCCCATTTTCAGCAGCTGCAGCAAGCAAATTTAATTCAAGCGCTCCCAGGTGCCTTGCAAAGCATCCTGCTACTTGGGGATCTTCACATTACATATGCCAAGAGCTCCTGGAGCAAACCAGGGAGTGTGAAATGAAAACCAGCAAACTAAATTGCAACCAGTGGGCATCCCAGCAGGTTGCCTTTTGGATTCCAGCTCAGCAAGAGTTAATTCTCCTCTTTTCATCCCCTCTTCCCCCTGACAGCCCCTCACTAACCCAAGACTGCAGGCTGCCACATTCATTCATCCTGAAGAGCCCCTGCCATGACCACTGGGGCTGCAGAGCTCCCGGGACTGGGGGAGAAGGTGGGCTGGCTGGCTGGCTGGGTAAGCCTTCCCCAGCTTGATGCCTGCAATGCATCAGTTGTGTCTGGCCACGTGTAAGGCCTCTTTCACCTAAGGAGAATATTCCACTCCAATCCGAGCTCTCTGGGAGGAATTTTGTGCCACCACAGCTAGTGCCTGGAAAGCCAGCATATCCAGTGAGGAGTGTGCACAGGCAAACAGCAGCTCCACACTCAGGCAGACAAATCCCTGTTCTTAAGAGCTCTCCAGTCAGGAACACTTTTAGGCTTTTGAGCTTTTCAGTTATATTCACTAAGGCCGCTATATTTTGCAGTCCAACAATGGAACAGAAGGATGCACAGCTTAGTCTAGGGGCCCTAGCAGAGAGAAGAGAGTGTGATAAAGCAGCAGAATCTGCAGGACATGGGAGAGGGTGATGGAGCAAGGGAAGGAGTGAAAGGTCAGAAGGTGGCACAAGGCTGCTTGCAGCCCAAGTGAGACATCACAGTGAAAACATTGGGAAGGCAGCACATGAACAGAGGGAAGCACCAGGCTGGATGTGAGAGGGGATGTAATCCTCTGGAACAAGGAAATGAAAAGGGCTCCATAAGACCTCAGTATGGCTCATGGAAGTGGAGACCTCACCATGAAATGCAATTGTTTTCATTGGAGAAAAGCCAGGAGGAGGCAATACCATGAAAACCTTCTCCAATGTGTCTTAGTTTCGGCCAGGGTAGGGTTCATTTTTTACAGCAGTATCACAACAAAGTGTTTCCTTCTCGTGCTTGACAGAAGTGGGAACAAAGCTTCCCTCTTCTCCTCCTCCCTTTGCCTTTCCTTATTCAGTCCCAGGCCACCATGATGACACCTGTAGCCACTTCTAAGAGCTTTCCCACAGAAATGACTGGGCTACAGCAGGGCCTCAGTATCACGCTCCTTTAAAACACAGCACTCAATAGTGACGGCTACATCGTGATGCTGCAAAACAGTAACAGCAGTAAGCAATGGGGTATGAACCAAACCGGGTGTGTGTGTTTAAATTTGCATGGCACTCATCTCTCTCCATGTTGTAACTTACAGCAGAAAAGTGATTTTCCCTTTTCTTGATCCCTTTTAGTAGGAGCTCAATAAAGGATAGAACCAAGATTACTATTAGACACTGTGCAAAAAGGAAAAAAACTCAACTTACTGGAGAAGGATAAAACCCACAAATTTGTTCATTGAGTTGCAGTGCTGATAATAGCAAAACTTGGCTCAGAGGGAAGATCTACTATGACAAACTGCCTTCATTATTAGAGGCTCCCCCGGGTCCTGTATTATTATTAAGTACTGACAACGTGCTCCATACGGTGTGAGTAACAAACAAAGGCTGTCCCACCCCAGAGAGCTCACAATCAAATGGAGACATAAAACTGGAGCCTACTGTGCAGAACTAGAGGAAAGTGACACTTGAATCTTCTTAATTATTTTGTTTTCTACCTACAGTAAACAAAATTTTCCTTGCAAAACGCATTTGCTTCTCAGCTACCAGTGAATGGCACGAGCCACCAATTTTACATGTCCTTATTTTTCAAAAATGTTGAATGTAGGTGCTTTTTGGGGCATGGATGAAAGCACCTGGCAATCCTGCTAAGATAATGTGCTCTTTAAAAACATCAAACTCTTCTCCCTAACCTTCTCCAACCAGTGATGTCTTCAGATTTCACTCAGTTCTCCACCCCAGCCCCCAACCCCCAGTATGATTTTCCTTCAAACTCAGAAACCTTGAAACCCACTTCTCTTCCCCAGCAGAGTTCATACAGTTCAAGTAGCCTAGTTAGTGTGACAGGATGAAAGCCCTTCTGCAACACAAACAGCCATTGACTTTTTCCTGCAGTTCCTGCCTGGAGAGCCCTTCAGCTTATTCCCTTTTTTCCATATGAGTGAGGAGGATGGAATTCCACTCGTTTGAATCTTTGGCGTACAAAATCTACACCACCGACTAATGACTATGAAGCATTGTTCCCACTAAAACCCCGTTCAAAACACTGAGCATGAACAGCCCAATGGGGCTGCAGGGCTTTGAAAGACCTCGACTGTACCCAACCCCAGAGGTAAAACTGAACACCACGCTGTGCACTTGGCCTGTCTCTTCCATTCAGTGAGGAAGGTGCAAGACCATCAGGATCTGCCAATTTCATCACTTTCAGCTCTTAATCAGCAAGGAAACATTGGTGTAATTGCCTCCTGAAAAGCGATATGCTGGAGCTCCAGGAGAGCAGACCTTACCTGCCGGACTTCCAGGCGGTACTTGAGGATGGGATCCACAGCATCCGGCTCCTTCTGGGTCCACTGCAAGACGTAAGAGTAATTCTTGGATTGCTTCTGGCTCAAGGTGGGGTTGGGAGTGTCATAGTAAAACTCTGGGCTATAAGCTTTCGCTGGAGGGGAAAAAAAAGAAAAAAGAGGAAGGCAAGTAAAAGAGTTGGATCAAGGGGAACAAAAATTACAAAGAGATGTGGTGAGAGTGGAAGAGCTCCACTCACCCAGCTTATCGACCTGCCTCTAACACAATGGACACCTTTACTTTGCACAAATGTGCCACTGTTTTCTGTGAATCACTACTGCTTTCACAGCCTAAACTGATGGGAGGATTAGCAGCCCTGCAACACCAGTGGTACTTGACCAGCACCAACCAGCTCTAATCTTTTCTCTCTTGCTTTGTAGTTTAGATTGAAGTAACAGCTTTAAACTGGCATTTCTCCTGTTTCATCTGCTGCTTTACAGAGACTCCTGCTAACAAACCCTGAGGAAAGATCATTTGGCCAGTAGGTCACAGGAAAAGTGTTATTTATCACACAGAGACCATGGCATTAAAAAGGAGACCTTGCTCCTTCTGCCTCTCCCCTGCCTTGGCAACACAGTGCTCCAGCCTCTTTGTAACACAACAGTCACCTCAGCAGCAAAGAGGACACTGACCTCAGCCTGGGCAAAAGCAGTGGGAGCTTTGGCAGGGGCGGAGATGTCTTTTTCAAACCCACGTCTCTCCTTAAAAACAAAGTGCAGCAGGAGAAGGGAAACACAGAAGGAAAGACGTACCAAAGAGAAAACGAGCAGTTCAGAGAAGAAGGGACTACCTGTCATTTCCCCAGCAGTTTCTGTCCTGAGCCACAACCAAACAGAATTTGAAGGCTCGTGCCATGCAGCCCAGCAGCTGGAGGACTAATGCACAGGGAGCACTGGCATCTCAAGGTCTTACCCACAACTGGTTTTGCCCTATTTGGAATTATGATCATTTCATCCAGTGAACTTCAATTTTTGGCAGGTCCTGTCCTGAGCCAGGCGGGAGTTGGACCTGAATGAAAGCTCGAGTGTCTGGGTTCAGGTCCAGTCTGAACCAGCAGAGACCAGAAAGATGCCTGGGCAGCAAGAGAGCAGGAATAAACACCATCTCCTCAGGATGTCTGCTGCACCTTTCCACTTGAATCACCGGCCCTGCCATTCTGTGTGGTTATAATTAGGCTCGACAGGATTCAATGTTTATTTTTTATGAACTCAGATGTATAATATTGATATTTATTTCCAAGTCCTTTTTCTCTTATTATTTTTATTGACTTGAATTTTTGTGCAAGCAAGAAGTTCAGAACCACCTCGGAGACTAATTGCTGCTTATTCAACTTGTATTGACTATGGAAGTCAAGCTTTATAATGGATTTCGAAATAAAATCAGAACTGATGATAATCATCATCTTGCATGATATTAATTCATTATTAATTGACTCCAAGATGGAAATAGAAGCTAGAAAAAACAAGTGCTTTTTGATAGAAATGCTGCATGTCAAAATACTTTCAGAACTTCCTTCTGGAAGCTTTTACTACTGCTGGAAAGTTTTGTCTTTTGCTTACAGCTGATGGAAAGAGCTGAATATTATCCACGTCTCTCTTTCAGGCTCTTCTGTGCTTCCGGCTAGTGAGGGAGCAGATGATGAACAGTATGGGCTCCCCTGATAACTTTCTCAAGAGGAATGGGTTGGATGTTTCACTATCCTTCCAAAACATTTTGGAAAGCTAATCACTCATCCATAGAAGAAAATAATCCCATCCTGGTCAGACACATGTACTCTATTTTCAGTGCACCTGAACGTCCCACAGACAAAAATGAGTCACTTTCTGTCCCATAGGAAGGTTTATGGTATTTTTTCCCACAGAGAAGAAACAGAAACAAAAAGAGACCATGCCACTTTCTCTGCTCAGATAGGAAGGCTGTGGCTGATGGGAATTAAAACTCCAGCAATCCTGAGTCCAAGTAGAGCAGTCTAGTCACTGGAATATTTTTCAGGTTGCTCTACAGGCTCAGAAGATCTAATTAATTTGTAACTGTCTGGGAGACAGGCAGAGATGTCTGGAGCTGAACAGCTACAATCAATGTCTTGGAAAAGGAGAAGGGATGCAGGAAAAATAAAGGCTTGCTGCTTTCCTGATCAGTGCTCTCCAGGAACGAATCCTACTTTCTGCTGAGAGGATCCTATCTCAGGCACAGCATGGCACACCAGGTGCCAATACATATTTGTTGCTACCACCAGTGAGAAATTCCTGGGAGCATTCCCAGGCTTGACAGGGATGCAGTTTTCTGTGATGGCTCTTAGAGGGGTATGGTTTGCTGTCACTTAGTGATGTGAGAGTTACAAGCATATGAAAAGGGTAGAGAGGGTAGAGAGGGCCAAACCTTTCAAGCAAAATTTGCTGCGAGACAAATGCCAGGAAATCTCAAGGGGTGAGAACTAGGTCTTGAAAAGGGACCCAAAAAGTAAAGTAGTTTGGGTTCTCCCATTTCTGTAAGCACCACAGAGTCACAGCATACCTCAGCTTTCCCAAACCCTAGGAAAGGCCTGCTTCAAAATCAGGCCTCTCTGGATGTTAATCATTCTCATTTTTTTTCAACCCAGGCTTGAAAAGTATTATAAATTGGCCCTGGACTCAAACCTGAGTATTTGAACTGAATTTATTGCTTATTAAGACAACTTCATGGGAGAGCTCTTGAGAAAATTGTGCCCAAGTCAGTTCTGGGGTCATGGGAAAAGCAAATTTAATGATCAGCTGGAGAGGCCAGGTCACATGTGCAGTTTTAGATGCTATAAGTCTGCCATCCCTCTGTGCAGTTGCAGGTGCTGCAGAGGAGGCTTGTTATGGTGGATGATGGATTCAAAGAAAACTGTGAGCAGCAAATCCACTGTGTACTAGCGACCATTCCCAGCTCATGTTTTTGCTGGAAAGCACTGTGAGACACAGACAGGAGTCATAGAGAAGGCACAGGAATACATAATACAGTTTTTGTTTCTTTGTTTGTTTGCTTTTAAAGAGGAAATCACAAGGTTTGGAGCCTTTTGGAGGGATTGTACAGAGCTTTTCACTTCCCCTTGGTCAACACTTATCGATGATACAGGTTGTCCAAGCTTCAAAGCTGATTGTGGCCTTGAGTTTAAGTCCTGTAAGCGGTCAAACATTGCTAAAATCTAGCAGGGGTTAGCACTTAGCTGCTCCAGGTCCACCTGCCTGAATGATGGAGACAGGTCTCCCTGCTGGCTTACGGCAAATTATTCCTCCTGAACAAATCTGGGCACAGAGGAAGCAAGAGAGGCACTGTAGTGGCACCAGTTTATGAGGAGCAAGCTTCCCATGACCCCATCCAACAGCGTGTTCCGATGTGCATTCTGTGACTCACCAGACACCTGGAAGAGGCAGGCAGAGACCCCCACGTCGTTGGAAATGCTGCACTCATAGCTCCCGCTGGTCTCCCGGCTGACGCTGTCCACCTTGAGCTCCGAGTAGTCCTGCTGCTCTGCCAGGGGCTGCGCCAGGAGGCTCCCATTGAAGCGCCAGACGGAGGTGGCCACCTTCATGGGGCTGCCCTTGAGCATGGTGCAGCGCAGGGTGACGCTGTGCCCCATGCCCTGCCGCACGTCCTGGAAGGCCGGCTCCACCACGGGCGGGACTGGAGACCCAACAGAGCAACAGACAGGGATGCCATCAGGGAGCAGCTGCCTCACCCAGCACGGTCACCCTGACCACCTCTGACAAGACAGGTACCTATGATTTCCAAGGGGTTGGAGCCAGGATCCATCACACCAAAAGCAACAGTTGTCTGACATTCCCTTCTGACTGGGCAGGGGCCACATTTTACCTATCTCCCACTTATGAGGTAGGGATAACCTTTAGCAAGAACTCATCCCACACTGAGCACTGCTTGGAGGAGCTACCAAGTTCTGCTCTCTCATGTGAGAAGTGCAATGCCAGCAGCTGTATCGCAGCTTGGATTCAATCCTCAGATCTAATCAGAATGACTGGTCCTGTTGTACAGCACAAAATGCACTCCCTGAGCAGGCAGGTAAGTTCCCAAGCAGTCATTTCTTCTTGTCAGTGTTTGGCAGGGTTATCAAGGACACTGTGTTTAGGTGGAGGGATCTGCACTGGCTCTCCCCACAGACCTGAAGGAGTTTTGGAGGGCCTCTCCCAAATATATCAATACAATACATCACAGACTGGCTACAGGGACGCTGGGTCCTATTTTTATCTCTAGCAACAATTCCCTGATGTTGGGAGGTGAGTCACATCTATCCATGTCAGCTTCTCTGCCAGCAGTGTGAGAATGGGAATGGGGATGTGTGTCACCTCCTTAGCAAAGGGAGACTACTATGTCTTTTTGCAGTTCTTTAGCACTTGAAAAATTTATGGGAACCTCATGATTTGGGCATGGTTGAGGTACAGCAAGGAAAAAGTTGGATTGGTACTGTTTGGGTTATTCCTTCTTTAGTGCAATGAAAGAGGACTTAAATCCCCACTGTCTCTGATAGACACGTTTCACTTGCAATAAACTCTTAATTAAAACATTACAGCATGGGGATAAACAGAAGCTCTCCATCTAAAATGAGGAAAGCTTCCTGAACACAAAACAGCTGTTAGCCTGAATTTAAGAGGGAGAACTGATTTATAGCAGCTTCAGCACAATCACAGCTGACCTTCTCCAGGTTCAAAGCAAGTGCTCTTCCACAGTTTCTATGCTCTACAGATCAACAGAGCATCTGCCTCTCTAAAGGTCCACGGAGTTGCCAAGCACAGCCAGGCCCAAAAACATGCAACACCCAGCATCTGCAGCACCACAGACACAGGTCCACCAACAGCCACGGGTCACTCTGCATCCCTGCTGCCCTGAACTGGGCTGTGCTGCGAAGAGCTTCAGCACACCAGTCTCCTCCCATAGCCTGACCCCAGCAAGACCCAACAGCTCTGTGACACTAGTGACATCTCTACCTTCAGCACTGTCCCACAGGTGGGCATGCAGTGTCCCATCTCCAGGGGCACAAATGCATCTGTGGGTATCCCATGTACAATTATCTCCATCAGCCCCTCCACCTGGCAGCCTTTGTTTGATGTGGCTGATCGTTTCAAGGTACCTTGTTCTCAGCTCTGAGTTTTTGGGCCCTTTGCTGTGCTGAGGTGGATGAAAAGCAGCCCTTGTCTGAGCTGAGGCTGCCGTGCTGAGCGGCACGGTCAGCTCATTACGGATGTCTTTCCTGGGGATGTGTCTCTGCAAGTGCTTCGAGTGCTGACTTGCCTTTGGCTCACACGTCTCCCACCTCACAGTGAGAATAATGTGAGAAGTTGTTTGATTAGACCTAGTGCCATGCATGTATCATCTCCATACCTAGCTGCTATCCCATTTCTTCAGTCACATCTGATCCTTAATTGAAGCCAGTGGGGTCTCACATTATAATCTAGGCCAGCTGGTGATATAGGGAAAAGAAAGAGAAAAAGGGGAGAGAAGAGAAAAAAAGAAGGCTCAAAAAAACCCAATGGCACAGCCACTCAGATGTACTCAGAGCAGTCTGTCTCCTGAGGAAGGGAGAGAAGGGTTGGAAGCAGCTTCCCTTACTGAATCTAACTGTGCCAGGTATGGGGCTGGGACAGAGGAAAAGGTCTGAAAATGGACAAAGTGCCACCTGCAAGGACATGCTGCAAGGAAAGTGCCCTCCTGGGCCTCACTGCAGGAGTGTCTGGGGCTGGTAAAGGGCCACAGAGGAACAGGGCTGGGATGCTCCAGAGGCTTCCTTAGGTCACTGGAACAGCAGGGCAGCCAAGGATGCAGAAGATATTTAATCTTCTTCAGCTGGAAAATGGGATTTACTTGATTTGCACTGGGACAGGCTCCAGGGCTATGTTACCATCTTGCAAAGGGAATGTCTGAAAGTGTCTGTCAATTAAAAATTGATTATATTTTCTCCTTTTTCTCTGGCACTAGAAAACACCCAATGAATATTAACTCTGCCTAGAGCTCTAGGTACTCCTGGAGCTCCTGGTTTTCTGGAGAGAGACCTGAAGCAGGTTATCCCATCACTACACAATATAGAGAACTACACCAGGGGCCAGTTATTCCCCAAGGTTCCCAATGGATATGAAAACAAAGGAAGATCAACAGCAATTACAGAGCCAGACATCAGCTCTGGCCTCCAATGCCTACTGGGGAGCTCACACTTGTTCAAGGAGGTTGAACACAAAAGGCAGACTCACCACAAGGGCAGGGATTCAGGCCGTAACACCTCACCGCTAACAACACAGCCTTTTCTGTTTCTGTTCTTTTTCTCTGGCTTAAAGGCAAAAGAAAGCTTGTTTAAATGAGCTGGTGCTGCTACTTCCCAGAACTAGGAACTGAACAGCTCCAGCACACCGGACATAGGGGCTGTCTTGGAGGAGAGACCTGTGATATAAGCCCTGCACAGACCCCTTTAGGGAGCTGCAAAAAGGATAATGATTTTCAAGGTGCTTCTTATAGTCACAGGGAAGCAGCATTTCTGCTGGCTATAAGGAAGTTGTATTTGGGTATTCTGGCTTGCTAAGCTGCTATGATGCTCTTTAAGTTTTTAGCCCAGTTCCAAAGGTGAGGCTCCTCAAATGCCCTCCTGTGTCTCCCTTCCTGTGTCTCCCTTGAAATCCAGCACCTTTATCAGAAGTGCTCTTTTGAGCAGCCTGCACATTGCACGCAGCAAGTTGCTAGGCTTTCAGAGGGTAAAAAAACCCTCTGTGCACATAGAGAACTTCAGGATCCCCTGGCAAGAAGCACAGCAAACAAATACAGACAATTACTGCTCTCTCTCAGCACACAGCTTAACTCTGGAAGAGCTTGCTGGCAACAGCAGTGGTGAAGGAGGTAAAGAAGCAGTGTTGAAGTGAGGGTCCTCCACCAACCTTGTTAAGACGCCGCTGCTGCAGGCAGGGCAGTCTGCCTTTGCAGCAGAATTAGCTAGTTAGGAGCAATTCCAATGAGCCAAACACAGGCAACCTACTCCAGTGTGCCAGGCACCCTAAAGCAAAGCTGGGCTGCAGGCAGCTCCTCGCTGTGAGCCAGAGTAGCTGCTCTGCACCAAAGGGCTGGGAAACTAACGCTGCTCACAGTGATGAAGGGCAGCAGCGAGGGAAGTACAACAGAGAGATGTTAAGCACCAAGGAGTGTTGCTTTGTGTCCCAATAACCTCTTATCTTCTTCGTTTTACTGGAAATAACCAGAATGGAAATGCTTATCCCTGCTAGGTGAGTGAGAAGTGCCTTCTCACAGTTTAGAGTTAGGTCTGCTTGGTTTTTAGTTTCAGCCTTGAGAAAGGGTAAAACTAAACTAGGGCTTTTCCTTACAAGAGCCAAAGAGCTCAATGAAGAGACCACAGTCTCTCCTCTCACTGTCACTGTGCTGTCCTGCTTGGGCATAGCTCAGCAAGGGATACTTGGCCCTTGCAATGCTGTCAGATTGCTGCAGGTTCCCATCAAATTCAGATGCTTCCAGAAGGCAGAGATGTTTCTTTCACCAGTGATGAAGTCAGACCATCCCAAGATAGCCACTTTGAAGCATTTTACTCATGGGGTAAATAGAAAAAAAATTCCCTTAAATTAGAAACTGGCAATGTTGTCATGAGGCTGCTCAATCCAGTATGGATGAAAGACAAAGAAAAGCTCCTGTTCAAGTGGACTCATGCACAGAAATCGGTGACAAGCTTAAAGACAAACCAGGATCTGCAGAACAGGGGAGCATTGAGCGAACAGACCTCACACAAAGTGTTCAGGCAATAATTGAGAAGGTCGAACATCCTAGACATCACAGGACAACACTACTATGCAAGACACATGCAAATTCTGCTTCCCCACTGCAGTTTGGTAACAGTGAACAGCATAACCTGACCAAATCTCAAATGCTGGCTTGTTTTGGAGAGGTTGTCAGAGCTAGGGAGCTCTCTCATAATCTGCTTTCTGACTCACAAGCAGCCTTGTCCCCCATGTAGCCATGTACAGCTGACAACAGCCATCTCTGTGGGTGGTGAGCTGCCAGCATCGTACCACTAGTGTGTGCAGCTGCCATGGGCTGCCACCTTATTTTGCTACAGGAATTTACTTCCCACAACACTTCCTCTGCTGCAAAGAGCACCACAGCACAGCTATGTCCTGGGGAAAAGGAGAGGCATGAAGAGAAAGATGCCCTAATCAAGGTCACACACAGAGAGATCAGACAAAAGCTGTGCAGGAGTCCTTCATCCTCACCTTCACAATACCTTCCATACTGGGACCTGTATCCTGGTCCTTTCACTCTTAGGCCAGTCTTCCTTGTCTGTGAGAAACACCCACTCCTCTATCCTTCAGAGCCAGTCTTTAAATTTTTATTTAAATCTAGACAGTGCAGTACATAACACAAATGACGAAAATAGCAAGCTGTGCTAGATTAGAAAGCTGCTTAATTTCAGCAGCTCTCATCCCACCCCACCGACTGACTACCTCAAAGCTTAGCCATGCATCACAGCTCCAGTGGGACTCCTGACTTTGGTCTTCACCATGTCCCTTGGTGAGACCCAACTGACCATCCATTTGTAGGATTAACTTTGCAAACAACACACAGATAATGTGGCATGAAAGACTGCACATAGTGGTTACTTACAATTCTTAGCTGTGTCTCGTTAT